CACCCATAACACTAGACATTGCACAGCTAACAATTTTTACATTCAATACTCAAGATTAAACAAACATAATGAATCTTTTGTAAAACTCGGAGCAAAAATATGGAATAATATTTCTGACAATGTACGTGAATTTGGAAAAAATAAGTTTACTAAAACAATACATAAAACGCTCTTAACTATACTAAAACTTGAGGACGATTATGTTGGTGTGCCTATACGTTAATACAATTGATGGCTAAACAATGAAATTATTGTCTTGTGTGTAGCTTTCCTATTTATTTTGGTTTTAACTATTTCCCATAGATCAGAATCGAATTGGTTGCTTATATATATTATCCACAACTTTTTCTTCTTTTTTTTTCTAAATATAACTCATGAGCATGTAAATATATAATATATACAGGAGTGATAATTTACTATCCGCCTCGATTAGCTATGCTATTAGCGGATAGTATTGTATGTTGTAACGTCTTTTAAATTAATTTAATAAAGTATCATAAGTATGGTGGTAGTAATCTCAGTCATCATTCATCGTCACGGCAGTACCTTATCATTGCATTGTATTGTAATCAACGCCATCGCTATCAGCATCATCAACAACATCAGTACACCATGCCTCTTATGGACTGCTATGTGGATATCTCTCGTTGATTTTCTAGATACTTCATCATCGTCACCCACCATGAACATTAACATCATCACCATTGTCACCATCATCATTATTACCACCACAATCATCACCATCATCTTCATCATTACCACCACAATCATCATCACCATCATTGTCATTAATTACCACCACAATCATCACCATCATGTCTTCATCATTACCACCACCATTATTATCATCATTACCACCATCATTCTCATTACCACCACCATCATCATATTATCACCATCATTATCATTAATTACCACCACGTACCATCATCAGGGGTGGAAGAATGGGCGAGCACTGCTCGCAGAGAATGTTAAACAGCTGCAGGAGCTTCGTTTGAATGAAAATTTGTTGTTGAAAGTTTGAAGGAAACCTTAAAAGCTATGTCCCACCATGGGCGCAGCAACAAACGGTTGATAGACATTCCTTGAATTTAAAACCATGGTCAGCTAGAACACTATATATTTACGCACATGCAGATTTAGTACAAAACTACTCCGTTGGTCTGCAGGAAATTTCTGTCTCCAGGTTGTGCTCCTAGGAAGAAAATTATTTTTTCCTGTCCTGATCATCATCACTATCATCATCATCAACATATGGCTAATATTTATGAAAATATTTCTATATTTTCCCTGTATCCCTATAAATGCAAATAATGAGTCTTTAAAGTTTTTGTTCAAAATTTTCTTTTGCAGTGCAAGGAATGTGTACTTAGATGTCTCTCAGAAAGAAGACGAACCCGCTGATGAAGACGACAGCCATGAGCAAGACAAGATGAATGTTACAATGAACCCTCTGGAGAAGTTCGAGACCGCAGATGATCAAGCAGAACCCCAGGGGGCTACCAACCAAAAGACCTTGGAGTGGGATGATGCTTACATCGCTTAGTGTCCGCTTTATCAACGTTTACCTACTCCTAAATGTTCATCATTACCCATGTTTATTCATGTTTATCCTGGAGAAGAACTTTAGATTTCACTTTGAAACTGTTAGTTCTGTGTGGCTATCAACATATCCTTTAAACATAGCTTCACATAGTGGATGTTGTTGAGGAGCGGCTCCCTGTTATTACACGCGTATTAATAGTGCCCAATAGATGTAGACTTTTTGTAAAAGCACCGTAGCATGATATAGCCACTTTTGCACGCGTCATTTCCACATATGGAAGCACGTAGTATTTGTAGCACTTTTTCGCTTAGATGTAAAAAATTCTTATGGAAATAAGGAATATAATTAGCAACACATATATAACATTTTTGTATTGAATAAATGCGTAAGCGTTATTGTGTGTTTTCTTTACTTTGGCCAACGGCAAACGATTTCCAGTCTTTCCATGCCGGCCTCGTTTTCATGTTTGCTTGTTTGTTGCATGACAGATGCATGTTGCGGTTTTATCCCCATGTTTCCTGCACGAGTATGTTTCTTTTTGATCTTCAGCCCAACTGACAAACCTATCCTAAACTTTATTGTGCGCAAAACATGAAGAAATAACCATTGGGCAAAGCGTGCAATTAAACAGTACAGTCTATTCTCATTAATAATTCGTGGAGACAACACAAAGCGAAGAAAATCATGACCGTGCAGGATAACTGATGCAAAATCCTGCTGATTTGAATAAACTTTAATTTTCTTACGAATGATGCTACTTTAATAAAAGCTAATTCAACAGTATAATTATTTCGCACGAGGTTATCTCAAAAGTGTGTTAAAGTTGTTTTTATGCAGTTGCAAGCAGCCGAAGCAGGAGTTATAAGTAGTGCTTAATTATAAATATTTTGTTAAGTTCAGAGTTTTTTGTATTTATGTGAGTTTTCAATTATAAAAAACAGCCTTTTTAATCGACATTTTGTTGTCAATTTAAATCATTTTCGGCTAACACCAGAGGGCTGACACTATGTTTAGCTTTTTGATCAGAATTTTTGACCTGTTCACATTTTTGTGCCCTATTCAGATTTAGTCGAATTTTACAAGGAGAATTTTAAAAATAGAAAATCACAAGATTCCGCTCATGCTGAGTCATGCATTTAATTCAATAGTTTTCCTTTTTACTCAATTTAAATTTCCTTCAAACAAGGAAATTTTTCCACAATGTTATGTAATCACTGAACATGTTCTAACATGAAGTACTCAAAAGCCGTAAACAATGGATTTTTAATCACAAAATATTTCAACATTGATTTAATAGAAGTGCGATCATGTATCTAATGCAGAGGTTTTGAAAACAGTTCAGTTCATGAAATGGATATCAGTCAAAATGTAAATGGCAATCCTCTTCGTAAATTTTGGATAAAATTTCAACGATTTTCGCGAGGTCCTGGGAAAAGGAAATTTTATATTGGGCTGTGTATTGCTGTGTACGTTATTGTCAGTTTGTTAGGTATGTTTTAATAGCTAGTATTTTTGTAAATGTTCTTTTTATAATCAGAATCAGTGATTATCCAACTGAATCTGCCAGGGAGGTGGTGATTGGGTGCTGGTCAAAAATAGCAAAGGCATTAATAATGAGCATAATGCAAATTGCATCTGATAGAGAAATTGCCCCCCCCCCCTTGCACTGCACTTGGCCAAGACTAGAGTCACCTCTCCCCCTTCTTCCTATATCAATCCATCTCTGGAAGCATGATATTAATAATTAATATTTACCTGCACCTTGCCACACTTGACATTTTGAATGCTGGGTGGGTTTAGATTATAAACCCCCAATTTGACTTCACATTTTATTCTAATTATTGTTCTAATCATTGATCATGAATTGCAATGATATTAAACATTAATGCCATTGTCATCGTACTTTAAATTTTGACTGTTTCTAAAAACCTGTCACAGAACAGGTTATTATAACTATAGATCAGTACACAACAGGTTTTAATAGTTATTTAAATAGATGAACATATTTGTTTGTGTTAAGAGTATACTGTAACACAACAATAAATGAGCCTAATATAATATCAATTTCTTATTGTCGTGATAATTTATTAGTAACTATGTTAATGCCATTATTTTGGTCTATTTGTTTTCTACAATTTCCAGTTTGGAAGTATCACTCAGAGAGAAGCCATAATCTCAAGCTATCGATATTAAAGAAAAAGCTTTTACATTACTGCAATCCTGCAGGGCCACCACTTGGAAACGAACACAATGAGCCAATGGAATATGCGCAGTTTAAACTAAAGCAAGTCCAAGTTGTTGCTCGACATGGTGACAGGGCATCTGTTGTCAAAAACTTTGCAAACATGATGCATTTTAATTGTGATATAACATCTCAGAATTTTCAACATGCCCGAAAACTTGAAACGTTGAAGAAAATGGCAAGGTTTTTAAAAACAGTTCATGTGAAAGGACGAGATGAACTTCTTACAGATTTTATGTTGACTGGGAGGAAAATATGTAGGCCAGGTAGGTTATAAATAGGTTTACATTCTTTAATTTCCATTACAGTAATTTGTAGATGAATTGCAAGCCCAACTGGTGAGCTAGGTGCATGCTTTAACTGTCTTAATAGTGTGAGCAACTATGCATACCGTTACTATAAGAGTAAAATTAGTGTGCATTCCTCAGAACAAATCAAATATTAAGTTATTATTGATTTTTCTAATAGTTTGTTGAATGCTGTATTATAATATGCACATAGAAGGATCATCAGTCAGAATGCATATTTTTTGTTATACTGAAGATATACTGGAAATATGAACTAAGTATAGCTATGATTATTAACCCATTAAGCACCAGTGCTCTTCCCTTGACAAGTAAATTCACCTGGCATTAGACAGAGTAACAGGGGCGATGGAAGCCCCCCTGTTAAAAAGTGATTTTTTAGTGGGGCAGGGGCCTAAATGTCTTTTAATTGATATTATTTCAGTTATGCATGTACACAAGACAATTTAAGGTATTTTATAACATTTTGTTACCTTTAGAACTGTATAAATCTCCTTGTAAAACGTTTGCAGGAAATGGCATTCGAGAGACTGTAGTTTCCCGGATTGCCTACAATGTCACCCGCTTTCGGCAGGCACTAAGTGTCCTAAGTGCACGCCTTCCCCCACTTTTAGAGCTTCTCTGACACCCCTGCAGAGTAAAATAATAAAGTAGGGTGCAATGCAACTAGGGTGCAAATAGACTTAATAGCATGCAAAACACTTACCAACATGACATAACTTTTAACCCAGGGTTAGAATAACCTGCTCTTGGTAAATTTTTTTCTGAGCCCAATAGTATTAAAACGAAAAATTGTTAATACTCACTATAATTTTCCAGGTCAGCTGACAGGAAGAGGCTACCTTCAACACATTTATCTTGGAGAGTACATGTTAGATATGTATGGTAAAAGATTGGATCTAAATATTGCTAGTGTTGAAGAAGATGAAATTGAGGTGTTTGCCACACCTATAACACGTACTCAGCAGAGTGCAGCGGCATTCATAGCTGGTATGCTTAATAAGATACTTAAGAAAATTCCAGGTGCGTATTTCTGTTTAATGTAACCATCAAACCAATAAGCTAATATGTCAGTGAGTAAGATTTTTTGCATGGCATGCCTTGTGAGATGTCAGTTCCAACATTCTCAGCTATCAGTTACAGTAAAATGTTTTGTCCGTTTCCAATCAGAAATAAGTGTGAAGTATGATACTACGTGTTCATTATTGATGATTTAATGATTTAATGATTTAATAATGTTCGACAACTACTAAATTTAAATTTTAACAATGTAGTGCCAGGATACTCGCCACAGTGTCCCCAATTACGGCGAGTCCTTATGCTTGTGATGTTACTCTGAGTGTATATTCACACCGGGCAAGCTTGAAAAATATGCCTGGCCACGGTGGGAATTGAACCTACGACCTTTGGAATACTAGCTCACAAAGCATCATATTCACCCGAGTACATTACACCAATACAGAGAAATATCACGAGTTGATTATTATTAGAACAATATACAGGATAAAAACCTCATCAGTATGTCAGTACTATCCTTAAGAGTTCTGTGGTCTTAAAAGAATATACATACTAAGACTAAGTTGAAATTATGGACAACGAAAACAACAACAACAACACCAGCAACAACGACGAAAGCAACAACACCATGCAGCAACAACGAAAACAACAAAAGTTCAACGTAGAGCCTCGCGCCTTGCATGACAGCAAAAACGGGGAGAAATGCCCTATGAAGAGCGTTGTTGTCTACTAAAATGGCTAACACTTGAGAAAAGTAGAGAATATTTGTCACTTGTGGAATGCTTCAAGTCGATTCATGGCTTAAATGGTTTAGTGTTTGAAAATTTTTTTGAATATCCAAAAGACAACCGAACTAGAGCAAACCATAAGTACAAGTTGTACCTTAAAGCTGCAAAAATAAACTGCTATAAATACTCTTTTTTGTTAGAGTAGTAAGTAAATGGAACAATCTTCCATCTGAGATTGTGGAATCAAATAGTCTGCAACAGTTTACGAACAGACTTAGAAAATTAATGGATATGTAGGTCAAGATAATTTTATAATTTATTCGTTGTTCTTTGTAGATGCAATGTAAAGTTTAGGGAATTGTCATAGTATATAGGGTTAACCTCACGATTTCCTGTTCAAGATTTTTGTAATGTTATCTTGAATAAATTATGTATGTATGTTTTACTATATTTCAGACAGCAATTTGGAGACATCTCTGGAAGTAAAGATACGTGTATCACCAGATCAACTAGGATACTTCAGAGAAGATGAGAACAATGATATTCCATCTTGTTCAGAACTGGAGCAAATTCTTAAGGAGCAAAGAGATTCTAGTGAGTTTCAAAATGGAATGGCTGCCTTTGAACCTCTGATGCAAAAGGTTTCTAAAATATTTAATATTTCAATGGAGAAGCTTCCTACACTAACACAGTAAGTCTAGTACTTTATTTTCTACAGATGCACGAAGAGAAGCTAGAAACACGGGAATATATGGACAGTTTTCCCCATTGCCATTCACTTATGTGGAATATAATGCATTCCTCGAAGTCTCAAAGGGAACCCCTTTTTTTTCTTGGGACCCAAAAATGAATGAGGCTTCGGTGGTGCAGTCCTCTTATTATTCTTATAGCAACCGCCTTTCACTTCTGAGAGTGTGGATTTGACTCGACGAAGACTTCCTATAGATTCCCTGCTCTCTGAAAGACTCATGATAAGAAGATTCCCTGCTCTCTGAAAAATCATGATAAGAGTCTCTCAAAGACGGGGCCTATCAGAGAAATTCGGGGGCCCGGGGCGAAAAAAGGGTCAAAAAAATTTTTCCGGACTAACGTTAAGGGTCAAAAAAATTTTTCCCGACTGACATCAGTTAAGGTTCAAAAAATTTTTTCCGGACAAATTCTTGTTAAATTACAGGGGTACATTTAGTAAAACCCTTTTTTTGTACCAATGACAAATCTGCAAAATTTAGGTTCAGAAAATTTTTTCTCAACCATTATTTATTTCAAAAAGCGTTCCAAATTATTTTTTTTTTTCCAAATTTGGGGGCCCCCCTTACACTGGGGGGGAGCCGGGGCAAATTGCCCCCTTTGTGCCCCCCCCCCCCTTCTGATAGGCCCTGCTCAAAGACTGTTGACATGATAGGTTGGGATACATATAACTAATACAAGTAGATTAACAACGAACACACCAGTGCCCAGCTGCAGTTAAATATATCTTGTGAATAATTAAGCTATACCACCCAGGCTGAATGAATTATCTTAAAAAAACTTATGAAGAATTCAGTGCGATTGATTTCACAGTGGCGACTGTTAATTCCTTTTTATCTTCCGGAAGCTTCCTTTCTAAAATTCTTTAAGCCGTTTAAATATTAGGAATCGTATTTATTAGGACTCATAAGCCCCTATAAATACTAGCGCTGGTATTTGGAGCAAAGCTAGCATGTCATCGGAAGATTATTTCTTGATAGGTTTTGGGTTCGATTCGTTCGACCTGGAGTGCTAATTCAATTAACCGATTCTCAGAGTTGGGTATCAAATGTCACAAAATCATATTTTGATATTTGTTGTTATTATATTTTTAATTTTGATCGTGTAATTAGTCACTCAGACTGCCCTTTCTGTCTTTGCTCCACACTGCGTTTCGCAGAAAAAAAACACCCATAAAAATGATATGAAGAGTTTCCGTGTCATGTGCACTTAAACGTTTCACGTTTCTGGTTGTAGTTTGGTTGACGTGGTTGCCACTCATTACTGTCATCATCATCCACCTCCCTGCGGCCCGGAGGAATGTATCGACGATGTTATTAAACTGGAACTCCTCAAGGCCACAGACTGGGTAATAGCTACTAAATACACAGCAACTGCCACCCTCGCAACGCACCCCCTCCTCTCAAAGATTGCACAAAGAATGCTCGCCCACATCTCTGGCAAAGGACCAACGAAATTTGTTCTTTTCGCCACTCACGATTCCACCGTCGCACCGCTGTTAATCGAAATGGGCATTTTTCAAAACCATTGGCCAGCTTATGCTTCGAGAATCGTTTTCGAGCTATGGGAAGCAGGAGGCTTACTTGGAAGTAAGCTTACGGGCGACGATATAGATAGGCATTTTATTAGAGTTTTATATGACGGACGTGATTTTACCAGAAAACTAAAGTTCTGTAAAGAGAAGTTGAAATTTGGAAAGTTGTGTCCACTAAAAGCTTTCGTTAAGGCTCTGGAGGGCGCCTCGGATAGCATGGATGTTGAATATAGTAGGTTATGCGCAAGGACTAGTGTAGGAAATTAAAAATTCCTTTTTTTTATATAGTTTTATTCTTGCTGATCGTGTTTAATTGGTGTGTGTGTGTGTCATTAACTTTTCTTTAACTTTGTCATTGGTTTTTGCGATTTGTAGTTTAGTTATATGTTGCCTCAGTTTCATTTGAAAGGAGTGCTTCAGTTTGATTCAAGAACTAAATGCTCTAAATAAAGGACCTCGTCTTTTTCTTCAACTTCCTGGAGACTACAGGTTCGTAGTCTCCAAGACCAAAAAAATTCAAAGACTTTCAAAGATTTTTTCTGCCTATTGTCAAAGATTTTTCAAAGACCTTTGAGAGCAATCGAGCGCCGAAAAATTGCGATGTATAATTAAGCACCATTTTTACCAGGTGATTAGTCCCGTCAAATCACATCCTAAAATGCACTTTTTCGTTGATATTTGCGAAAATCTTGCTTCAATCAATCTATCTTATTAGCTAGGAAATCGTATAATCAAATAATCACTAAAGAATTTGAAGTCTTTAAGACTTTCTTCGCTTTTTCACACAATTCAAAAACTTTTCAAAGACCTTAAAGACCTGCATTCAAATTTAAAGACTTTCAAGGATTTCAAAGACCGCTACGAACCCTGCACACTACCAATGTGCCCAATGGACCATTCCCCAATTAACCAAAATTTTGAACTCAACAAGTCTGAACAAAAATTTCATCACAGCTTGAAAGAGCATCACAAAATTAGTAATATTACAAAGTTTCGTTGCAAAATTTTGTAAAATGCGGATAATATAGCCTTGCGAAGTTTGCAATTTTCAGTCATTTTAGATTACAAACGGGAAGTGGTTACCACTTCTGTGCGTAATACAAAATGACTGAAAATTACAAACTTCGCAAGGCTATATTATCCGCATTTTACAACATTTCGCAACGAAACTTTGAAATATTACTAATTTTGTGATGCTCTTTCAAGCTGTGATGAAATTTTTGTTTAGGTTAGTTAAGATCAAAATTTTGGAAAAGTGGTAACCATTTCCCATTTGTAATCTAAAATGACTGAAAATTGAAAATTTCGCAAGGCTATATTATCCACATTTTACAACATTTCGCAACAAAACTTTGGAATATTACTAATTTTGTGACGCTCTTTCAAGTTGTGATGAAATTTTTGTTTAGGCTAGTTAAGATCAAAATTTTGCAAAAGTGGTAACCATTTTCCGTTTGTAATCTAAAATGACTGAAAATTACAAACTTCGCAAGGCTATATTATCCGCATTTTACAACATTTTGCAACGAAACTTTGGAATATTACTAATTTTGTGATGCTCTTTCATGCTATGATGGAATTTTGTCTAGACTTGTTGAGATCAAAATTTTGGTTAATTGGGGAATGG